ATTTGCCTGTTTTTCCCTTTTCAATTGTGATCCCTTCCATTTTAATATACTTAGTTTCTACTTTTATCCAGTACAGTATCGTGTGAATGTTAATTTAGTGATATAATATTTATTTTGTTTTCACAGCTGATATTCATGGACCAAGTGGAAGATGTTTGTTCTGACTATGTCCAAGTAAAAGGTGAACACAGCATTGTCCTCAAGATGAGAGGAGACAAAGAAAGGGATTCTCGAGTGGTTTTAACAAATTCTGTAAGTGTTTCTTAGCACAAAAAGTAATACTGTTATAACTTCAACAGAAAAATATGCATAAATACTTCATGAAAATCTATCTGTATAACTGTGCTTTTTGAAAATTCTGAAGATGACCTTCAAAGCTGGTAAGACAATACAATAAAAAGTGTTTACAGGACTGTTTTGAGTTAAAAATAACAGTGAAGAAACTTGTTGGTGAAACATTACTAAAGCAACATTATACATGTTGAAACTCATCCAAAACAGGATATGTTAAAAATGATACTACAGTAACTGTATAAAATTAGGAAATCAAAAAAAAAGAATAATAAAAGCAAATTAAAATTTTTTTCTCTGTGAGGTTTCATTCCTCTTCAAAGATCAGTACAAATCAAACTGGTTGAACTGTAAAACAGATGTGCACATGTAAATCATACATTTTCATAAGGGATGTTTCCACACCTGACAATTATATTACTCAACTAGAATTAATACGGCTCTTTTCTGTATAACAATATTTTATATTTTTCATCAGAGCAGCAATAAGAAAGAATTCTAAACAACTCAAACCATGGCTGTCATTACTGAAAGGTTTGTATTGCCTGGTGCTCAAAGATTAACAATGAGAAAAACTACAGTATATTAGACAGATTAACTTATATTGTGTGATAATTGTTGTTTAAATTTTTTCTTTTGTATTTCTGGTTTGAGCAAGTAGAATTAACGTACTAGCAAGTAAACAAGATCACAGATCTTTCTATTATACAGTGCCTTGACAGAATATAACATGCAACAGTGATGGTACAATAGTTTTATATCACTGAAAGTAAATTTTAAATATCTACACTATACATGTTTGTACTAGTATTTAGTTGCATTACTACCCGTATTACATAGTGCTTGGATGCAATTTGGCTTGGTATCGACCAGTTTCTGAATAACAACTTTCTCCATCTTCTGCCCTATAAGGAGGAGTTTGGTCTGTCATCAACTGCTGTGAATTTGTGTGAAGTGTACGTGTTTCCCTTAGTTTCCTGTTTAGATTCTCCAATTTTGTTCTGTGGAGTTCATATCGGGGCTCTGTGGAATCCACAGCATAAGTTTCATGCCTTTCTTCCTCTTCCACATTGCTGTAGTTTTGGCTGTTTTGAAAGTGGCATAATCTTCCTGGGTGTGAGACTGTAAAACACCTCGATGAAAGAATGTTATAAGGTGAGTCTGTAGAATAGTGATGTAAATGGCATTGGAAATGAGGTCTGTTTCTCCACCATATCAAGTCACTGCCCACACCACATTTGACTTTTTCTACAGATAGAATGGTTGAAATTTGGCATCTGCCTTTCTCAATACCCATATCTGCTGGAAATCATCTACTGTTTTCTAGAACTTCACAAGATGGTAATGCATTTCAGTAGCCCAGGAAAATAACCAACTTAGATGTGTTGTAATCAATAAAGACGTTCTTCTAGCTACAAATCTTTGAAAGCCAAACTTATGTAGATTGGATGAATTGTATCTTTGCTCCTCTACAAATCTTTGATAACCAAACTTGTGTAGATCAGATGGACTGTATCTTTGCTCCTCTACACATCTTTGGTAACCAAACTTATGTAGATTGGATGAACTGTATCTTTGGTAACCAAGCTTGTGTAGATTAGATGAACTGTATCTTTGGTAACCAAGCTTGTGTAGATTAGATGAACTGTATCTTTGGTAACCAAGCTTGTGTAGATCAGATGAACTGTATCTTTGGTAACCAAGCTTGTGTAGATTAGATGAACTGTATCTTTGGTAACCAAGCTTGTGTAGATCAGATGAACTGTATCTTTGCTCCACTACAAATCTTTGGTAACCAGCTTGTGTAGATCAGATGGACTGTATCTTTGCTCCTCTACACATCTTTGGTAACCAAATTATGTACATCAGATGAACAGTATCTTTGCTCCAGCCTGCTGTTTCTGCAACATCTATCATGCTGTAACAAAGGTCCTTTCAAACTTGCCTTATCTGCGATCTTTTTTTCACTTAGTGTAAAGTTTAACAGCTATCTGGGGTGATGTTTGTTGCATTCATTTTAAAAACATTTACCTTTAGTACTAGGACCTTATTAAATGGGATAATATTGTGCAAGACTGACATTGTCAGCTAGAAAAATTATGACTGTGTATTTGTGAGTTAAAAAAAGAATTGATAAGAAAAAGGCATAACTTGAAGAGTTTTTCAGATGCAAATATATTTTGTACATGAATGTAAATTCTCTGAGCTACTATATACTGAGAGATGCTGTCCTGATAGTGCTTTGAACATCCGCAGTTTAACCTTTTGTCACCCATGGAAGAGGTTTTTTTTATTACCGTAATTGGCATAAATGTGCGGGTGGAGACGACAAAGGGTTAAAATAACTAGGGGCAGTTTTTAAGCAAGTAGCTGAGGGTTTAATCATAAAATATTAACACAAATTAAACTAGTTTGACTCCATTCTGAAAAGTTGAGAAATCTTATAATCTTGTGTGTTCTCTGCTGTTATAAAACTGATCAATGGGGAAATTCGACACACATGAGCTAGGAGTTAGAAGGAAAAAGATAAGAAAGACATGAATTCTTCATAATTTCTAGAGATATGAATACTAGAATCATATTTAAGAATAGCTGGATGTAAGTAAAAGTCTGTATACACAGAACCTGTTCACAACAGAATAGGTCGTCATAGATACGATCTTTATGAAATAGATTATACTCTTAGAAAAGCTGGTTTTTTTGGCAAGTTCTTATTTTCTCATAAAATGATTCTAAGGTGATGATTTTATTTAAACCTTTATTTGAATCTCCTGGCTGGACACATAAATCTTTTCTGTAATATTCGGAAGAATCTTTAAGCTTTTTTATATATTTTTTTTAATGTTTTCCTATTTATAGAGTTATGGACAACTGCTTTACCCAAAGGTATTAGGATGGCACATTCCCAGTAAGCAATGAGCAAATTCCTGTTGTTTTTCACTATGTAGTATTAAAGGATTGGCTTATCTCTGTTAAGTTAATCCAAAGCTGTTTTTCACTATGTAGAATCAGATAGGATTAAAGGATTGGCTTATCTCTGTTAAGTTATTCCAATGCTGTTTTTCACTATGTAGGATCAGATAGAATTAAAGGAATGTCTTATCTCTGTTAAGTTAATCCAATGCTGTTTTTTCACTGTGTAGGATAAGATAGAATTAAAGGAATGTCTTATCTCTGTTAAGTTAATCCAGTGTTGTTTTTCACTGTGTAGGATAAGATAGGATTATAGGAATGGCTCATCTCTGTTAAGTTATTCCAATGCTGTTTTTCACTATGTAGGATCAGATAGGATTATAGGAATGACTCATCTTTGTTAAGTTAATCCAATGCTGTTTTTCACTATGTAGGATAAGATAGGGTTATAGGAATGGCTCATCTCTGTTAAGTTAATCCAGTGTTGTTTTTCACTGTGTAGGATAAGATAGGATTATAGGAATGGCTCATCTCTGTTAAGTTAATCCAGTGTTGTTTTTCACTGTGTAGAATCAGATATGATTAAAGGATTGGCTTATCTCTGTTAAGTTAATCCTATGCTGTTTTTCACTATGTAGAATCAGATAGGATTAAAGGATTGGCTTATCTCTGTTAAGTTAATCCATTGTTGTTTTTCACTGTGTAGGATGAGATAGGATTAAAGGAATGGCTCATCTCTATTAAGTCTACTCACAAAAACTCTCTTGAGCTACTAAGCAGCATGGCCAAGAAAGCTGGGAAGATATATGGTACTGATGCAAACAGTGTAGCTGTTCGACATGCCAATGGCAATTGACAGGTAAGCAGATTTTTACTGAAAACCAATACTGGGGATGGTGAGAATAATGAACTCTTGAGAATATAAAGTACCTATGGTTATGTGCTAATAAGTTAGTGTTGAAAATGATTACATATGGTTATGTGCTAATAAGTTAGTGCTGAAAATGATTACATATCTTATATAAAGTACCTATGGTTATGTACTAATAAGTTAGTGTTGAAAATGATTACATATGGTTATGTGCTAATAAGTTAGTGTTGAAAATGATTACATATCTTATATAAAGTACCTATGGTTATGTGCTAAT